GAGGTGTCTAGTCTTACTTGGTGTATATGAGAAAATACTCTCTGGGAAAAGTGAAATTTGATCTGACACTTGAATGAAAAGAGCCAGTCATGACAGTAAAACCTGGAAAAGATTATTCCAGGAAAACAGAGAACACCACATGCAAAGTTCCCAAAACAAGAACAAGCTCAATATGTCTAAGGGACAGAAAGAAACCCAGCGTGGCTGGGACACAGTAGGGAGAGGAGGGTAGAAGGCCATGAAGTTGGGCAGCCTTATACTCCATGACGAAAATGTTGAATTTCAAATTTTTTTGTAATGAAAAGGGGAAAGTGCAGGAGGGTTTTAATTACATTTACGATTTTTAAAACATTCATTTTGCTGTTGGGTGGAGAATGGACTGAAAGAGCAGAACCAGTCAGGAAAACTTGCAGCAGTCTAGGTCTAGACAAGAGGCGATGGGTGCTGCCCAAGGGGTCAGTGGAGAGGTGGCAAAAAAGGGTCAGATTTTGGACCTATTTTGGAGGTTGAGTCGACAAAACTGGCTAGTACTGGATTTAGAGTGTGGGAGAATTCAGAATTCAGGGAGGAAACCTAGGATTTGGGTCCATTTCTGTGTATGTGCTTGTGCCAGTGAGGTGGAAAAGCCTGGGCAATAAATAGCAAGAAGCACACAAAGAGCTCTGTCTGGAGCACTCTGTGCTTATCTGTTTGTGCATTTGAGATGCACATTACATGTCCCAGGAGAGGGGTTGAGGAGGTGACTGTCTACATGATAGTGGGGTCAGGAGAAACGTCATGGTTGGAATATAAATTTGAGGGTCAGCCAAATATAGACAGCATATAAAACCCCGGGGCTACAGGAGGGTTCCAGGATGAAATAGATCCTGTGCAATCAATAATCAGTCTTCATGGACTGGAAATAGGGCTACTGATTTCATGAAATTGTCTGAGTTCTTAAACCTTCACTCAGAGAGGAAGCTTTCATAAATCCTTTTCTGAAAGACAGGGCCACCTGGGAGGGAGATCAGTGCAGCAGTTAAAAAACAATAGCTTTGGGGTCAGTCAGGCTTCACTTGAGTGCCAGCAAGTAACTTAACATCTCTGTGCCTCACTCTCCTCATCTATAAAACAGTGGAGAGGTGGTAAAAAAGGGTCGGATTTTGGACCTATTTTGGAGGTTGAGTCGACAAGACTGGCTAGCACTGGATTTAGAGTGTGAGATAATACCCATTTCCTAGGTTTTATTGTGGAGACACTACAAAGATTTTTAAATGCTTAACCCAGTATTTGGAATGAATGCAGCAATAAGTCAACAAATGATAAAACTACTATATATTAGCACAGTTCGTCAATTCTAAGATGCAGTTTTTCACATCTATTTCCCTTTTTGAAATCAAGATGTACCTTAAAATTGCTGGAATCTTAAATTTGATGAATGCAGGGTGGATTTCCCATGATTATTTTTCTCCCACTTCCTATAGACCCAAAATAAGTCACACATTTTCCTTATAATTCTGTAAATCAGTCAACAACTGGGTCATTTTTCTTAAACTCCTCAGCCACAGGAAGATCAATGGATTTGGCAACTACCAGTGTCCAAGCCACTCAGTCTCAAGGTTGGATTCTGGAACAGAGTCTTGGAGAATATATATAAAGGAGGCTCCCTTCCAACACATGCCCCCATGGACCCCAAAGAGCTTTGTGTGGTATATGGAGGATTGTTTAGAGTAGGAATCAGGAGACCTGAGGTTTACCCCAGAATCCTTTGGACAAATCCTTTGGCCTCTTTGTACATCACTTTTATTGTTAGCACCTAATCACACAGAAGTGTGCTGAGTGACCCCATGAAATAGTATACACTGAAGTTCTTTGGAAAGGACATAAGCCATATTTTAATATTACAGTCATATGATTTCAGAGATTGGAAGATCCCCCATTCCCTGGTCTTTCATGGAACCTGGACATTCTAACAGTAAGGGTTATTCCCCAAATGGCTTTTGAGCTGAAATACATGTGGACTTGGCCATGCAGGGAATCAACAGGGTTTGTTGTATCTACTTAAACTGTTACCCACTGGGGCCTGTTAATACTTTTGAAAATAGATATGAATAATAAATAGAATCAATCCACCACAGTCACTGATAATTAACAGTATCTGTGAATTTCAGTGTCTTGTCTGTAAAATAGGGATAAAATAAACCTTCCTCCTGGGGTGTTATGAAAAATACATGCGATAATGCACACACATCTCAGTGCCTGACACATAGTAGGTGCTCTATAAATTACGGTTATGGTGGTGGTGATGGAGGAGGTGGGGGGAGAACAGCAGGAGGAGAAATATAACTAAGAATTTGGAAAAAGAAATTTAGTGGCCAAGATCCCAGTCAAACCTCAGGTTGAATGCCAGAAGAGAGGAAAAGGCACGGAGTTTCTTTAAAATTTAGGGTGTGGGGTAAATAGAATATGAAATAGCAGAATAGAGTCCCCAGAGCCAAACTCACCTACTAAATCTCTGCCTCGGGTCAGTCCTGTCAGAGAGAAAATATTCTTGTGGAGAAAAGAACAACTTTTGATTTGCTTTTAGCCACCATTTCTCGGGGGATAGATAAGGCTCTTACCCGGGAAAGACCCACGATGGTCGTCCCATTCTCCTCTTCATCAAATATTCACTGAACGTCGTCTAAATGCCTGGTTTCTGGAGACATCAAAGTCATGTCCTCAGCTTTTGAGAGATGGCTCTGTCTCCAGGTAATTCTGGGAAAGGTGCCCAACAAAACCACACACATTTTAAAATAGGCTTCCCCTGCTGGTATATGACCAGCCCCTGAACTATCAAAAATAATACAATTTCTAAATAAATAATATTGTGAAAGAGAGGGTTTTTTGTTTTTTAAGTGAAGTGAAAAAAAAAAAAACTGGAAGATCATTTTATTAACCCTTCCCCCCCCCAAAAAAAAGCGTGTTCCTCAGGCAATGTTCACCAGACTGAGATGAGCTGTCATGCATCTGACATATGGTTTTTGGTTCTTCTTTTTTTTTTTTTTTTTTTCCTTTTTGTCTTTTTTCGTGTCCAGCAACGGATCGCAACCCTCAGTGTCGCACCCATACTGGACCGGACCGGCAACGGGATCGCAACCCTTGGTGTTGCGCCCGCACCTTGCTCAGCCAGTGAGCGGGAACCGGTCTGTATGTGGGATCCGAACCCTCGGCGGGAGCGCCGCCGCACTCCCAAGCGGCGAACTGTAGCAGTGCGCCACCGGGCTGGCCCGGTTTTTGGTTCTTCTGCAAAGCATAGCACACAATGGGGACAGTAGCCCAACCCTGCTCAGAATACCTGCCAATAACCAAGAGCCACTAGTTCCAAGGAAATCAGACCAATCTCCCACTTACCTGGCTGAGTTTTTACTCATGGTGAATGATTAGTTTTTGTTAAGGATACTTTACTCATTTTTAATAACTTTGTGTTATTACAAAAGTCATACAGTCTAATATACAACACATAGAAAACATCAAAATACACAAAATAATAATTAAAAGCCATTCCTTTATAACCCCATTGCCCAAAGGTAACCACTGTGTTGACATTTTTTTGTCTTTGCAAATTTTCTATACATTTTTAATCAAGTGGCCTTCTCACATACTTATTTAAGTCTTTTTTTTTAGCCCAGTGAAATATAGTGAACTGTTCTTTTTTAAACCAATATTCTTCTACACTACTATTTTTAATGACTGCAAAGCATTCTATGATATGAATGCCCGTCTTTTGTTTACCAATGTTTCTCAGTCAGGAGCAGCACTGTCTACCTCAGGGGGCATTTAGAAAGGTGGGAAGGCATTTTCAGATGACCTGATGGGTGTCCATCGGCATTTAGTGGCCAAGAACCAGGGATGATAAATACACTACAGCACACAATGATGAAATGTCCAGTCCCAAAGCCAATAACATCTCAGTTGAGATCCATTAAGCCAGTTCTTTATTGTGAGATACTTTGTTAATTTCCAGTTTGGGGGCTATTCTAAGTAGCAGCAATGAATATCTGTATCCATAAATCTTGGTGCTTACCTCTATTTCCTAAGGACATTGCCCAGAAGGGGCATTATTTGGTCAAAGGTTATGCACACTTAAGACTTTTGATACATTTTGCCAAAGGTTCTCCAGAATAGTTTAACCAATTTATAATCTGCCAATGAAGGTATATTTCAACTTGCTAATAAGCAACTCTGTACAGTAGAAGAAACAAGGACTGAGATCCCATAGGCCAGTGTCATCCCTTGAAATCTATAGAATCTTAAGCAAGTCATTTAATTTCTTGGAGTCTGAAGTTCATCTGCAAAATGGAAATCATGCCTACTCTGCCCATCTCACAGGCTCCTTATGTGGGCCAAATAACATAATATGTGAAAATGTGTTCAAGTATAAGAGACAATTTTTAATAGTGATCATATGAGAACTGCTTTTCTCTTTGGCTGGAAAAGAAAAGAAGCACCAGGGGATGCAAATTCAAATGCCTGCAGGGCCAGGCAGCCGACAGGAGCATTGTGGGCCAGGTGTAGGGGCCTCAGTATTGAGGTTGCATCAGGGAGTGGAGAAGACTGATAATAACTGATGGATGCACAGCTGGCCTAAAGAGAGCAAGTACTATTTGGCTTCAAATAATTTGTTTCCTTTAGAAATGTAGGGAAGTTTCTTTTTCATAAGATATTTTAATCCATTTTTATGAAGCATGAAATTATAACTTTAGTGTCTAAAGTTATTTTTTACTTCTTTTTAAAAAGTGTATTTTTATGTTATTTTTTTAAAAATGTAGGA